TTCCACCATAATAGCGTGCAGTATTGATTGATTTGTTACAAACATTTTGTGCAAAACAATAGCAGAAAACGTACTAAGCGCGCATCACGTTTGGCTTCTGTCTCCACCGGCAATGCTGTGTGTAACTTTTGTGCGCTCACAGTGTTGCACACTTGTTCACTGATAAGATTTTATGCCGACAGTTGCTAATATGGACGGGCAGGAAAACGTTGTGCTTTGTAATAATATATTGTATATCAAGACTGAGTTGGCGAATAACGAGTGTGTGCGCGTCGAGACTACGTGAACCGTGTACGCACACACAAGTGCACAGTTGTGCGCGAACATTTACAAGTTATTGTTCGCTTGAGGGAGTCGAACAAAACACACATTTGTGCCGTACGCTGTGCAACAATATGCCAAACAGTTCAGAACAAGGGTCTAATCGTACCTTTAAGCAAAAATTAATTATTGATTAGATTTTTAGGCTTGATGTTTAATTTGTCTATATTTTGTTTTTTTCAAATATTCAATTTGTCTATATTTTGTTTTTTTTATATTTTCCTTAATATGACTATGATTCGGTCAATATGATGATAAGGAATTGATGAAATGCGCTAATTTCCTCATATATACTATAATAAAACAAAACTAAGTGTTAAAATATTAAAATGATAATACGTAGTAATAAGGTCCGATATGGCCTCGGTTCCTAAGTGAGATTTAAAAGTACTTATGTAAGAGGATCAAAAGTGAATTGTATGACAATATACGTAAGCTATAGTTTACTGTTATAGCTATAAATTGTAAATATATAACTTGAATATTGAAAATAATTCTTTAAATATTAAGATGCGAATTCATCCTATCAGTTCATTTTATTGATTATACTAGTGTTTACTGGCAAATCAAGCAATCATTTGTGTAGGTACTCTAAGATGTATAAAGATATTTAAAATTAAACTCCAATTATCCAAGTCTGACAACCTAGTCAAATTATTCGGATTAAATAAATGATAATTTATGATTTTCACTTATAAATACAATATGTATTGTTCAGGTTATATTTAGGTATATAAATTAATTAAAAATACGATATTTAACAAAGACCTCGTAAAAAAGATTTTTTTTATTATTGCCCAGTATTTAAATTGTTTTAGGTCAAATAAAGTATTTATTTTTCGTTATTTGGAGAGTACAAAATAAAGCCACATCTTGCATACAATTTATTATTTGTATGTACTACGCTGAGTTTGACAATCTGTTGTTTAAAAAAACTATATTTTAAAATAATGCTTCTATTATGTGCCTTGCATTCATCGTGTGTCTTTGCGTACAATAAATTAATAATTAATTAAAATAGCGCTAAGAAGTAAGAATATAATATAGCTATGTCGAAATATAACATGCGACAGATTAAAAGAAAATTATGACAGATCGTTTATATATCGTAATCTATGGTCAAATTTAAATTTCGAACGCTTAAATTTTTAATTTTCGCTTCAAATGCATGTAATTAGCATTTCTAGTTTTAGGTTTTGTTTCATATCGTGCTCAAAACAGTAATTGTGATGAATAGTAGGTAATATTTTTATATTATAACAACCTGTTTGTGATTAGTGTTATATAGATTAATTTGTAGTTAAATATATTGTGACTTAAGAAGTTGTTTTTATTTACCCAGATACAATTAATTAAATTTAACTATAAATATAAATTTAGCGACTATTTTGACAGATTTCCATAAAACCAATTAATAAACTTCTATACACTAAGGGTGAGATCTATTTAGCTTCTCTGACTTAACTATCGAGCTAAGACAGTCGGTATTTATAGAGCAAACTCGAATCTCTCCCTAGTGTTGGCTTAGCTTAATCTCAAGTCCACGAAATCGACGACTTACCAAAACTTTGACTATAAGCCTAACAAAAATAATGGCCCAAAATTTGCTTTACCATCATTCTTTTACTGGACTTTTTATTTTTGTCGGTTTTTAATGACGGTGTTGCATTTTGTTCGGAGTTCCATAGACTTTGGGAAAAATAGAATTTGAATTCAAAGAAATTATAAATGATCTTGATAAATACCTATGAAATGCATGAAATAAAATATTACACTTATTTGGTATTTATTGTTGTTTATTTATATTATTTATGTAATTGTTCAAACCCCATTTTTGAGAAATCTTAAAAATAACTGGTGTGATTTTGTATGTCACCTGGCAGCCCTGGCAATTGGCATATTATAGTGACAACGAAATTCAAACTATAACCTCCAAAACATTGCGATCCGTTCCGTAATAAAATTATTGTCATCTTTAAATAATTAATACTTTTCTAAGGTTACTCGTGAATTTCTAGTTATTGCAATAATAAAATAAATGAATACATAAATAACAATAAATTGAAGATATATGTGTCCGTTTTAGATTTTTAAATATTTGTTATTGTTACTTTTTTAAAGGATAATAAACAAGTATTGCATGATGAAACTCAATTTGTATTTTGACATTTTCTGTCTTAGCTTGGGCTTGCTTAATCTCACCGTTAATGTCTATAAATCGAAATCATAGTTTAACCTTAGTGTACACTGCAAGTTTTTCGTGGTAAGTCTGAGCAGTCCAAGTGCGCACTATGTCTCCCCTTGATTGCTTTCCGAGACGAGGTTAAGACGTATGCCATGACGCCAAACTTAACCTAAGAGAACCTTGTCACTGAGAAAATTTAAATCAATTTCCTACATTGAATGTAATAATTTAAAATCGAATTAATTCCATATTTTAAATACATGATTGTCCATACGGTTTCTATCCAACCGTTGAAAAGCTATTCTGTAAATTCTTCTTTCATTCTAATATATTATACCTGGACATCAGATAATAGATAGATTTTTACTACCCATGTTTTGGCAACCCCAGGTGCTTAGGGTTGTCAAATTTTCAAATTTGTTTCGAATATTAAACCAGCCCGGCCAGTGCAGATATTTAACAAATGTGGGCGTGGCGATCAAATCTAATCTACTTAAAATTTATGAAGCCATTACTTCCAATAATTTTGTTTAGGGTGTGAAAAATAAAAATGCATTAATTTCAATATATTTATTTCTAATAATAATAAATAATCCCTTACATAAAAACGAAAATGTGCGAAATAATACAATATGATCCCCATCTACGAATTGGCAATTAAGCTTACTAAAATACACAAATACAAAATAAAGATAAAATAATCTCAAATAAAATGTATATTCGGGAGTGTAAAAGTAATTAATATTTCAACAATGGTAACACCAAGGCATAATAGATATGCCTTATAAAGCTCTATCTACATTATACAGATAAAAAATAAGTACAATAAAAAAACAATATGTGTAATAAAAAGTAGCGGTTTAAAGAAATTAATACGATATTCTTACTCCATCTTGCAACGTTGGCAACACTAAAATCGGATAGCGGGATATTACGTAATAACCGAAGCGGATAAAATCTAACTTTAATTCGTCTATAATGTCTCGTTCCGGTAAAATTTATTTACATTATCGCTCAAAGCGTCGTGATTTTTGCTTTAATTCCGATAAAAAATTATAAATATAAATTTCAAAGTATGTTGCCAAAATTTAAAAAAAAGGCCTTCAAACAGTTTTTCGTATATATCTTTGCTATAGGATGTCGTACGTCCAAGTTTAACATACATAGTAGATTTTTCTATAGAAAGTGGTATTCACTCGGACGTTAACATTCAATACTTATAAAAATGGGATACAAATCCTAGTGGTATTAAACCATATTTTGATCAAAGGCACACAGACTCAAAAACCTATGACAATTAAACTATTAAAATCGATTTTATTGACAATTGACAAAGCCGCGTCTCCTTTGTTTTTGACAATAAAAATAATTCACTAATAAAATATTTTTTAAATATTTCGAAATAGACACGGCTTCAAGATATTTGGGTAATTATTGCATTTTTGAACTGTGTATATTTTGCTATACTTCCCTAATTCCTGGGAACCACTTCCACGTGCTGTAGGGGCGCGGCCGGGTGAATACCGCGAATGACATTCTCCAAATTGTTATAATAAATGTCGCCGGCCAATTCCTCGGGGCCGACTTCGGCTTCTACCTTGGCTTGTTTGGTCGCTTCATCTACTTCTTTACGAACTTTTGTATCGATTTCCTACAAAAATAACATATTAATATTTCGTGCAGTATCCAGGGGTTCAGTTAACCTATAGATAAATATATAAAACTACTCGAAAGCTAAGAACGTGCCCGATGAGAGCATTAAATGTATTGGCTGAATTACGTCATGCTTTTGACAAATCAATCTACCAAACATTTATGAATTTAGTACGCCTGTTAGATATTTAAAAAAAAACATGTGTGTGTACTTATGTACAAGCGTTAGAAGTCTACACACTACTGACTCCTATATAACTATATCTTATACATTTTGACATACAAAAGTCTGACTTTGCACTACTTTTTGCGCTAAGTATGACTCCCTAAAGTTAATAACGTAGTCGATTTTCATATCTTACCTTAAGCTGGTCAGGTGTAACAAGTTCACTGGTGATAATTTTCTCCTTGAAGGAAGTAATCGGGTCACGGGTCTGTCGTACCTCCTGCACTTCATCGCGTGTGCGGTATGACGTACCCGGGTCAGACATGGAGTGGCCCGAATAACGGTATGTCTCCATTTCCATTACTAGGGGTCCTGTGAATTCAAATTAAATATATTATTATTAGGAGTTAGCCAAACTCATCCGGTTCAAGAGTCATATGTTTGACACATGTCACATTTGACGTTTTGTGTCACGTGACTATAAAAACCAATATTTTTATTAATACAGAAAATTATTTTACTCCATAACGCTACATAATTTCATATGTCCTACAGATTTCTCTCAATAACACTTTGTTTCATGATGCAAATAGTTATTAGGTCAATAGGTATGAACTGATGACGCGGAAATTTCATACATACGTGAAACCATTTTTTTTTTCGTATATTTGTTTTTTTTTGTCTAAAAATTTTATTCATTTTGTTCACTTTTGTCAATTTGGGGTCGCCTATTAGAGCAAGAGTGTTTTTATAAATAAATACATAAAAATAATTAAAAAATTTCTTCGTTGGAAATCGAAGTCTAGACCTCCAAGTCTTCCTCCTCCTGAGAGTTAACCACTAGCCCACGGATGCTAGTAAAAACACTCACCCTTTCCACTAGAGCAGTAATCGATGGCGTAGCGTGTTGCTTCCCGCGTCGCAATGACATCCATACCGTCCACCCAAATACCAGGGACATAGTCACCACGAGAGAAGTATTCGGTACTGGCCGATGATCGATCTACACTTGTGCCCATACCTGAAAGGAAATTATATAAAAAACATTTAAAAAGTTTATTTTACTGAACTATCATGAGGCATGAGCACAAACTTTAGTTTCGCCAAGTACACTATATAGACAACTCGAAAGTACAATTACGTACAATTTCTCCAGTATTTTATTCGAACGAAGCTGTTTAGTTTCGTTCACGAAGCGAGTTATACAAATATCGTATTATTACTATTACAATCGATTTTACGTGATCGTGACAAGCTCCTTTGGTAGATTTATTATGACAAACGAGCCGGCTAAAGTAATTAAAAATGGTGCATGCGTAAATAAAAGACGTTTTTTTTATATTAAATAAAAATATAACATCATGTGCATAAAAAGATTTTATAAATATATACAAAATTAGTGTTACATAAGTTATTATATAAAAGCTAAATTTTATATAGTTCACATTATTACTACTAATACATGTAGAATATTCCATAGCTAATAAATTAGTGCACCATAAATATCACTTATAATATAGACCAGAACGTAGCTTTAATGGCTGCTATATCTATGTAGTACATATACAGATTACAGCAAAAGAAATCTTCTCGAAATAAAAATAGGTTGCAGCGGATAAAATTTTAAACACGAATTATATTTTTTTCCATATAAATAACAGCCCGTTCCCACTAGTCGAAAGTCATAAGACTAAAAGTCGAATGCTGGTCCATACACTTTATATGGGCTGTTCACATTAGATGGACGCGCTTTTGTCGAATACGACTCAAAAACCATCCGACGGGCCAGCGCCCGTTTTAAGACTAAAAGTCGCGTCGAATCGTGCTCGCATAGGTGCCTGCTTGTTGCTGTTCACACTAGTCGTGCGTCTAATCGCTCGAGCGCTTTTCCCCCCCCCCCCGCCCCGCTTCCTGATCGCTACACATTGCTTGCTCCCCTCGTGTTTTTTCCGAATGGCGCGAAACTCGCCTATCGACTCGCGACGCAGTGTGAACAGGGACATCAGACTTTCGACTTTTAGTCTTATGCGACTTACGACTAGTGGGAACGGGCTGTAAGTCACCTCATAGAGTAGATACTTAATATAATATATCAATGTCTTTCAATAAAAATCCCTACAAATATCACTGTCTCTTAATATTAGGGTTAGTCACTTTAAATTAAATAAATTAAGCACAGAAGGCATCTACTTGCCAATAAAAAAATATCAACAAAGCGGAAATTTTATTCAATCAATTAAAACATTGCTTACCATAACCATTGTTCTCGCACACAAACACACAGGGTAAGTCCCAAAGCTTAGCCATGTTGTATGCCTCAAACAATTGCCCCTGGTTAGCTGCTCCATCTCCATACAATGCAAATGCTACGCCACCATCACCGCGGTATTTGTGGGCGAATGCTAGACCCGCACCCAAAGGAACCTATTAAATGTACAAAAGTCAATGTGAGAAACCTGTCGACATCTAGGCAAGTTATAATTTTATTGTTTTCTTGAACCACAGAAAATATTTATGCACATACATATAACTCTAAAAGTAAATATTATTTCTGATCTAGATTTAAAAGTAGAATTTATATCTTAATATATATAAATTACGTGTCACGTTGTTTGTCCGCTATGGATTCCTAAACTACCGACCGAATCGATTTCAATCAAATTTGAACACTGTGTGTAGTTTGATCCAACTTAAAAGATAGGATAGCTTACATCTCAATTTATACCCGCAATATTATTTTATTGCAAAATATTTGTTTATTATTTGATAGTCACAGCTAACAGATGGCGCTGTGTTGAAAGTACCAACGTTTCAGATAACCTACAATTTAATGGCATAACCACCAAAAAAGCATGGTGGTCCCCATGACTGGTGTTCTCCTACCGTTTCCCTTGAATAGTTTGCTACTATGTAAAATAACAAAAACCTTAGCCACAGCAACGCTTGGCTGGTCTGCTAGTATAATATAATATAAATTTAATAATACATATAAGTTATTATTATTTAGTGATAAGGACAATGCATTCAATAACTATGTAAGTAGGTTTATGATTAAGCTGGTCAATCTACAAAGTTATTAATTAGCCTTGTTATAATATAAAATGAATAAACAAATAAAACCACTACAGAAACAAAATTGTCTCACCTGAGCACCAACAATTCCATTCCCACCATAAAAGTTCCTTCCATACAAGTGCATAGAGCCACCCTTGCCTCTGGAACAACCAGTTCTCCTTCCTGTCAATTCCGAGAGTACTCCAAGGACGCTGACCCCCATCAAATAAGTCCAGCCATGGCAACGGTAGGCTGTGATGACCGAGTCAACGTCACGTAATGCAGCACGCATTCCCACGGCTACCGCTTCTTGGCCTGTAAAGCAATGGCTTTTGTTATGAGCATGACACAGGCACAAGGATATAAGTGAATGCAATTATGAATTTATGGGAAGTATATACAAGTCAAGACAAACATACTTCTTGTTGGAACTCCAATTTTTATCCTTAATAATACTGCTTAGTTACCATGTAACCAGCTAAAACTATTTAATCTCTGTAATGTAGTTGGATATAAATTTAAAAAACTCAAGGTTCAGAAACATCTTGAATTAAAAATTTCAGGAGAAATTTGCACTTTCAGTCCTGATTGAATCGGTAACAAATAGTAGTCATTCATTAGAGTAACATTTTTCAGTATATATACATGTTATATTATAGTTCTATATAATTATCTATTTTAATGATTTCTATAATCAATTATTTTTATATAAGATTTATAAATCAGCAGGTTTTAACAAAAATAAAACAATAAAGTATTTATACTTATAACTTAAATAATATTATAAGTATGTATCTATTGAATTTGGGTCAAAAATTTTGATAAGTTAATTTAATTTTTAAAGAAAAAATAGTTAAAAGTTAGTTAGTCTTACATATGGAAGTGATGCAAGTTTTTATTTTATTTATTGTAGTCTGTTGAAAAAGAGAAATGCGCATTGGTTAAGCAAACATTGTAGAAAAATGTAATACATAATTTAATCAATTTACGAAATAATCCATATTTAGGAATATTATACAAATTTATTTCTTTTTAATTAAGTGTAATAATAAATATTCTTTTTTCACACAGACTCTAACTTGAACTTCTAAAGATTCACTAAGTAAAAGTACCTGAATATAAGTGGCAGAATCCACGAATGATTTTCTCCTTATACAAGTTTCCAGAGGCAGTTTCAATTCTGCGTAGGACAGCAAGCTTTTCATATAATTGCAATGCATCTTCTGCTGTTAGAGTAGCTGACGTAGCCGGGCCTTTATCCAATTTGTGAAGTTTGTAAGGCTTAAAATATAATTATATGAATGACATTCATACTCTACATTATAATTTAATGTGTAAATTCTTAGTGGTGATTTTCTTAGTAAGATTACCTATCTTTATTTGCTAAACCTAGTATAAATTCAAGGAGAATTTTATCACTATCTTGGATTGTAGGAAAACAGCTTTGATCTTGACGTTTTGAAGGTTAGGTTACATAATTTGCAAAACCTGCAAAAATGCTATTAGCCGTTTTAATGTAAAAAAATATTATAAACGCAACATGTATAACAAAATATTGATGATCTATATAGATTTACGAAGACTTACCTTGATTTCAAAAGTTGATTCAGATTTAGTGCTATAATTTGTTTTTGAAGCAACTACAGCTGGGGCGGCTGCTTTCTACAAAGAAAATATAACCATAAGATAAATATAGACTGTAGATGGAACCATATGGAATTAAAGAAGTTTTATAGAATAATCTAACACACCGACACTGTTGCTCCGCTTAAAAGCTTTGCGGCTGATGGTATTAATTTACTCATCGCTTTTAGAACAGTCTCTATAAAGCCCAGATTTATTGAGTGATCCGCTTCCCGGATCACTTTCGGAAATAAATTTCGGAAACAAAATTGATCTAATAAACTTTACAATTAAAGCCCCATGAATAAGTATTTGATTGAAAATAGTAAAATAACACAAACGTGACTTTGACAGGAGTATGCGTTGACATTAAAGTGATTGTGATGTCAATTAGAGGTCACTTTGATACGTTCAAAAACTTTTACATTGTATATTTTGGTACTGTATTCAATCCTTTCCATTCCTATTAAACCTTCTACTAATATCATAAAAACCTTGAGACTATTCAACAAATGCTTATTTTTCTAAAATCTTAAAGATTTCTTTTTGTATTAACAAAAACTACAAGCCTTTTACCGATTTCATTATATGTCAGATCACAGCTGTTGAACTTGATGATGACATTTTAATTTTCATCGTGATTCGTGCATGACATTTGAATTTGATAAATTTACTAAGAAATATAAATGATGATTCAGTAGAAAATAATGTTATTTCATGTTGTGAAAGACGAACCCGATGTCTCGAAATTTGTTTAAAGGGAAATTTTAAAGTATTTATTCATTTTGAATCTTTGGTTTTAATTTTAAGTGTTCGGTGTTCTTTACCTAAAAGTGTAGCTAATAACCGTATTTTACAACAATGGAATTCCCTCATATAGGAAAGAACTGCTGCTATAAATCCTGTAACAAACTGGGTAAGGACGACTTTATTATAGTTTTACATATTAATATATTGAATAGTAAACACTTGTGATTTAAAATACTTACTTTGATACTTAATTTTACTATGTACAAATATAAAATATGACATTATAATTTTCAGATTTCCTACCTATGAAATGTGATGCTTGTAAAGAAGTATACTGGTAAGAACTAAATATTTGTATTATTGTACCATTATCTAATAAAATTGGAAAAAGTAAAGTTAGTTCTTTTAACCTAGTGGGAACCTTAAACTAGAAGATCAATTGTACTTAGGCTAATGTTTATAGACTTGTACAAAGCATTGGAGTGAAACAGTCTAGTAACTTTAATTATATGAAAACATATGTGTTAAAGAGTATTATTACTTAATCCAATTAATGAATGCTATACATTGTTGGTGTTTCATAGTTCTTCTATATACTTGCATTTCTATTATTACAGTTCTGATCACTTTGCATACATAAAACATGAATGCCCTGCACCAAATAGTCGTGATGTGCAAGTACCACAATGCCCACTCTGTGGAGCTCTAGTACCTGGAAAAAGAGGAGAGCCACCAGATGTTGCAGTGGGGGCTCATATTGACAATCAGTGCACATCGGACCCAGCAAGAGAAAGGCGAAAAAAGGTAGCTACTACTTAGTAACAATAAGAAGTCACAACCATGGACACCCTGTGTAAATCATCAGTAAACCTTGAAAATGTGTCTTCATTTAAAAACTATTATTACAATAAAAACATTGATTTACATCTTTACTGGGGGTAGACCAAATTTATGGGATTACTAAACGAATTATTGGGTGTAATAAACCTAAATGGTTCTTTGTGATAATTTGATACATAAATGTGGAATTTCAGGTATTTACAAACAAATGCTCATACAAAGGATGCAAAACGAAAGAGATGGTGCCCCTAGTGTGTGTGGAATGTTCGCTTAATTACTGTTTAAGACATAGACATACTGCTGATCATGCATGTGAAGGAAAACTAGCTGCGAAACGAAGAAGAGCTGCGTAAGTACTTTGAGCAGATTTGTAATCTGCCTTAATACAAAAATACTGAAGCATGATAGCCATACATTTTATTATGTTAGTTTGAATAGTTTAGGATCCAGCTAATATAACTACTTTTAATTCCTAAATGAGCCTTTAGAGCTGAAAAGATGCCTACTAATATTTGTACAAATCAGAATAAAAACTTTAATATTGTAAGTAACTTAGTATCTTAATTATCTTTACAGAGAGGCAGCTTTGGCGCGCATGAAAGCAAATGACCACAAAATAGCAAATGTTCGCCAAATACCATCAGGAGTCACCACTTCTGATATACAAGGGAATATGGTATGTATACTGTTGTGTATAGATATAGGTACTCACTTCCTTATATTTTACTTAATCTAAACTATAATATTTTGTGAAGTAGCTAATAAAATAAATACACCACTTGGGTTGCTAGTTGGGTGCTAGGTGCACCAATAAATCCTTAAATTTGCACTAGCACTATTATTTGCAAAGATAATTTGTACTGTTTATAATTTAAGTTCATCTTGTTTTCTTGAAAACAATTCAAACCCACAGATACAGTCTATATGGTCAAATAAAAACATTTTTATGTTATGTTTTCAGACTGAAGATGAAGCTCTAGCACATGCATTAGCTTTATCGTTGCAAGATGATACACAAAGCATGGGAAATATTCGGACTCGAGTGGGCGGTGAGCCTAACTCTAGATGTACTGTTTCATAACTAATTATAACCAAATACCTTATTGATTTTTACATCGCATTTTAAATATAATTGATGTGTATTCGCTCAATTTATTAAATCTATTCGATTTTAAGTTTCATGTTAGTTCACTTAAAAGTCAATTACATGCTTATTTTAAATGTATTGGGCTAAACAAAATTTAATCAAAAATTTGTTATATCCTATATTGATGTATGTCCAAAATGTATAATTATAAGATTTGTAGGTATGGTAATTCTTTAAATTTTACAACACATTTGTATGAAAAATAAATGTTTTAAGATATAAAATGGGTAATTTAGGTTATTAGTTGATTTTACCTCATATGCTGACAATAGCGTCTATGCACAAAAATTAAGATTTTTAATTATAAATGTTACTGAATTTATTAAATTTCATTAATCTTTAGCATGATGTTGCTATATGTCATGATTGTTATAATACTTTTAATGTATGAATACAAGTGAAAATAAATACTAATATCAATTTTATCGTTAATGCTTTACTTAAATTATTTTATTGGGCTATTTAAAATTTTTGACGTCTTCAAAACTTTTATTATTGAAGAATATCTAAGACATAACATTTCCACTAGAATATTTAATGAATTTTCATATGAAAACTTTTTGTATCTATCACTAAGCTTCTGCTGTGTTCACATTTAAATAAATATTTTTGAGATAAAGACATATATATAGAATTGAAACACGTGTATCTTTTTATTTTCTTTATTTTGATAAGTAATAAAATATATTTATGATATAAATCCTTGGTAAACTATAAAGCTATTAAAAATTAAAGGAATGTTGCCAGTTTTTTCTTTGGTAATAATAAATTTATTGTATCACATTTCTCCCAATAAAAAAGTATTTTTTTACACCAGCCTAGGTGGCTTCTCATGGCTAGTGCTTGAGACAAAGTCACTATTCGACAGAGGTGACCAACTAACTCCTAGTTAACCGCCAGTTGTCCTCGTTTTCATTTATGTTCGATTTGGTATTATGTTAATGCAACGAAGTGTTAATAAATAAATAAATAACTCTAATGGAATTTGTATGTGAATGACGCTCACGCTTTGTCACGTGACCATTTCGAGCGACTTAGTTGGTCACGCCTATCGTAAAGTGATTTTGTCTCAAGCCCTTGGACATAACTTTAAAACAATTTGGCATGTTCTAGATAAACTTTCAAAATAAAAACAATGTACTTACAAACTTAATTAACACAAGGCTCCATTTTTACGCCTCTTAGTATTTTTTATTAGGAAAATACGCGATACGTATGCTATCAATACGACCCGGTTTTAAAGACCCAGAAACTTTTTTTTTTAAAAGCATATATAATGTTTGTTTGTTAAAGGTTACCTACAAATTACTCAACAAACTCTTGTTATGTAGAGTTCTAAACTTGTGATTATCATTCAAATAGCTGGTGATAAATTCTGGCGGATTCCTGGAGAGGAATATTTCCATACTCATATATCTGGCAGCCGTAAGCCGTTTGCGCTCAGCGTTCGAACGACAAAGGTTCTTATGCGCGTGAGCAGCGAAATTAGCTGCAGTTTTTTCAACTAATTTTGCCGTCACTTGGCGTGCTGGGTCGTCTTCTAACGGTACCTGAAATCACATTATTTAAATGGTGTAGGAAAACATCGTGAGGAAATTTATGCCTTAAATTTGAAAATCATGGCGTGTCATGCAAATACAAAGATGCAGAAATCTGGTTTTTTTTCAATATTTTTGCTATTTTTCATAAATCTTGAAAGATATCTTGAAGAGCATTTTTAATAACAAAATAACATTTTATATTACATCTCGCTTCACGTGAGCCACACAACAAATAAGAACATACAAATCTCCAAGTCTCAAGACTTACCTTCATCGATTTATGTGGGCAGATATGGGACCATATTTCTAATTTGATTTTAAATTATTAATTATGTGAAAATGTACCCATCCCTCCACTATCTCCTCTACATTAGTTAATACGTTTTTCGGTGTTTATTTAAATTTCAGACAAAGAGTTAAAAATAATAACTAACACTAGTAGCAAAACAAAAAAACAATAATTAAGATGTTTTCTTTTTTCTTTCGTAAAATGTAAATTTAGTATTTAATTAACCATTAATGATTTATTATTTATTTATTAAAGCACATCACATATAATACATTCTTCCGCAGTTTAAGTTATAATCTAATGTTCTAAATATACAACAATTACGGTGGACGGAATCTCATTGTAAAATCTCGTAGCAATTTTGGTTGAAATTTTCGATTAAAACCCGGTCTGACCACATTTCCACTTACCCCAAACCTTATCCACTGCCAAATCTGGTACCTAGAAATCTCAGCTGTGGCTGAATCTTCCACATTTCCACTATAAAAGAAATGGCCAACCCCAGCCAGCCATTGGTATATGAAGAGAATGGACACGGCCACGTTGTGTTTAAGACCTTGCAATGTCACTCCACCAGCGGGTATTGCCAGTAAATCATCAGGTGTGACGGTAACGTCAAAAATACGGTGAATTTGATTAGGTGTCGTGCTGCTTTTCTTCCAAAGCTGGAATAATTATTATTAGGTACTTCATTTCACTAATAAAATGAAAGTCGTTGAAGATAAAAGTTAGTCTTAAACGATTATATTTTTGCGGCTTATTAATATTTTTCTACGTAACGTGCGATGAGGCCGAAATGATTTCGCCGGGAAGGGAACCCTGTATTTAGGTTAACTACTAAGACACGGAGACGGACTTTTTTGACTGATTTTAATTTCTAAATATATAACAGTTTAATTTAAAAAAAATTAAGTTAAATTAATTCTAGCTCCAAAAAGTTCTGGCGTACACAAGAAATACGATAATTTTATGATGACAGGCTTAAAAACATTGTAATATTTGCATATTATTACCTCATTAACATGCGGCACTATACGCGAATCGTACACCATGAATCCATCCACGCCCATTTCTATTTCCTTCAATTTTGCTTCCAATACATTGTTTATTATTGATTTCGATCTAAAACATGTGTTCCATTGTTCAGAAATAAACAATGGTAAGTAAAAGACAGATCTGGTAAAACTCAAAATATCACTTATTCATGTAGGTAACTTAGGAACGTCAGTAACAAAGTGCTTCTAAATCTAAAGGGACGAGAAGAACTGGCAATAAATTCCGTCACTCTTTTAAATCGCCAAAGTATTTTATATAAAATCTTTGTAAGCACATGCAACCATTACAACAATAAATATAACCAGTTTCAGAGAGCAGGCCTAGCGGCTTAAATGTACGAATTTCGACCCTGAGGTAGGGCATTCGAATCACAGCCGAGCACTAATGGATTTTAGTTTCTATGTGCGCAATTATACTTGCTCTTACGGCAAAAATTGTGAGGAACCAGTATGTCCGGTATTCAGTGGTGGTTAAATGGTGAAAGTCATTCTCGAGCAAAACTCAACTACATAATATATCAGACTCAAACATCTGATCACCTACTCTATGAAAAAATTTAAATGATCAAATAAACTGTTGGAATCTAAGGCCAAGACGTATATATTATGTATTGCCACTGGCTATCATTATCATTATTAATCTATATAAAAACACACTGCATAATCATTTCAATGAAACTTACGAATTCTCAGTACCGATCGATCCTGGTTTGAGCATGGCAGCAGCCATTCCTCCAGTAGCCGGTGCCCCACGTAAGTGACAAGTGTTTACTACCAGCTGCATATAACTCTTGAGGAAACGTCTATCCATATTCACATATTTATTCCTATCTGGCAGTAGAAATGGTTTTTTTGTACCTGTTTTAAAAAAATAATAAACAAGAAACAGATAATTAGAAATCATTAAATTACTAATAATGACTGTACTAATAGAAAACACTTAAGAATTTGGAAGGTAGAATTTACCCATCTAGTATACAATCGAAATTTTTTATCTGTTTATGAAAACAATGTTAAAAAAGTTCTCGAATCCAAATATATATATGAGATTTAACATTGACTAATGCACAGGTTTCAATTTGAAATCAGAAAAAAGAAATAGTTTGCATTGTAAAAAAGCCTACCAAAATATTCTTTCCTAAATTGATCTTTGAAATATTTCAATTTTATTTAACAAAAAGTAACTAAAACCAATCAGAATCGTAATTCTCAGTTACAAAACAAGGCCAACTAATTTCCTCATTAAACCAGAAAATTGCTAATTTAAAGTTTAAGTACTTGTTTAATTTTTAGTGACAATTGATTTTATGCAATCATTTTTTTTCTGCGCTTTAATTTAAATGCCTCAAAAATTATTATGGCTAAAATAATATTATTTTAGTACAGATAAATTTACAAAAATCCGACTAGATTACAAACTGTATCTTACCAAATTTAGCAATGATGGATGCACAGTAATCCCATATACCACAATTAAGTCCCAGAGAATGTTCTCGTAAAGCAAACAATATCTCATCCATCTCAAATGTTGATACAATATTTTCAATCAAAACACACGCTTTTATGGTCCCCTGTGGTATATGCAGTTCATTCTGTGCCCATACAAATATATCATTCCATAATTTAGCTTCTGATGCACCTTCTACTTTAGACAAATAGAAGTATGGCCCACTATTGGCTTCATATAGTTTTTTTGCAGTGTGATAGATAAGGATTCCAAAATCTACAAGAGGTCCAATTGCTTCCTTTCCATCTATCTAAAAGTTTTCAGAGATATTATTCTTTATCAAACAATGATAATATATTTTTTTAATGGATTTAGTATAAAACTTACTTAGGGTGTGTTCAAGTATTACGTAACAAATTTTTCCTTTTGTAAAATGTTACGATGCAGGGCGGGGATTGAATTATGCAATATTGTTAATATTATTTTCGACTTTACAGTAATTTACAGCACATAATGGTAACTTTAGCCATAAAGAGTCACTGGGTGGTCACAAAACGTTTTACTATTGGGTAGAGAAAAATGTTACGGTGTGTTACACGGGGCTCAATAATCTCCAAAAATACTTGAATGCACACTTACTACTTTTTTAAGGATGACCCTATATGAGACTGTGTTATTATAATTAGTATTTATTTAAAACTGAATCGAACAACACAACATAAACTTTATTCCTCAAAGACATTGCATATTTAATGAAACTTAAAGTACTCAAACAGTTACATAACCCGTAAAATATCTTACCAAAATATCATGGTCTATCATATTCCAAGCTCGAGGTCTCAACATAAGAATGGGGCATGTTGTTATACTGAATGGTGCACCAGGCAATTTCCCACTGACCACTGATAATATATTGTGATAAGCCATCAGCTGGTTTTTCCATGTTGGACAATGACCGTCATCAAAATCCACTTGGATCCCTTGAACATCAGCATTCAAAGCACTTACAAAATGAGCAGTATTTGAAGCAGATACATCCCCTAAGTCCAAATGGCGATTCCTTAAAACATATTTTTTTTAAATTGCACTTCATTACTAAAAAGTTAATTCATATTGAAATGTACACAAACAAGCTAGAAGATATGAAAATGGAAAACGATGATGATACCATTGTGAGAAGCATATCCCCATACAGCATACTATACATACTGCAGCCTCGAAGATAAAGACGCAATTTTCCACAATCTATCTATCCTCTCAGGAGAAGCTTTGAAACTTAAAACTTTTTTCGTACTTAATTCAACCATTCGCTGTAACCTTGTTTTAAAGAGTTCATCTACGTCTTTATCAAACTGCTGATGAAGTTTACCTAAAAATGCTTTTGCGCCTTCGTCAAAAATTTTCTTTTGAACATCTTCTAATTTCGGTGGAGGCGATTGCAACAGTAACACATTTGCCATTTTTTAAATTAAACTGTTGTTATGTTCCTTCAGATGCTCTTTTATACCCTTTTTATCACAGCGTTTGACATTAACAACACAGTATCTAGGAAGCACTCTTATCTGTTCTTATCAGTTATTGCTGCTAAGCAATGCTGAAGTTCGTACTTCGTAAACACTAAACAGTAAACAATTATCAGAAAGTTAAAACCTCAGGCTTAAAGGAAGATACTGTTCTTGACAGTTACAATCTAATCAACGCTTACATCAATGTCATATTGTCATAGTTTGTCAGTGTCAATCACAAATTCACAATCACCTTTGTAAATTGTACATACACGGCTGTCAGCAAAACAGTTTTTAATAATAATATATAAGTTTACCTATTAATTATTGTAAAACTAACCTTATTGTTGAGTATATTATTACACTTTGTAGTTAAGTTATTTCATGATTCGTCATGGATCAAAACGAAGAAAAAGATGATGTTGAAGTTAAATTTAAACCAAAAAGAGAAAGAATTTACGACAAAGAGTAAAACTGGAAGACGAAGAAGAGGAAGATGAGATTCAAATCTTAGCGAAATTACAAGAGGCTAAAGAACTACAAAAACTTCGACAGCGACCCAATGGTGTTAGTATAATTGCTTTGGCCACAGGACAAAAAACTACTTTAGAGGATGAAGTGACGTGTAAAGATCCATATAAAGTGAAATCTGGTGGATTGATTAATATGCAAGCATTAAAAGGTGGTAAAATTAAGCAAGTAGATGATGCATATGATACGGGTATAGGGACACAATTCTCTGCCGAAACAAATAAACGTGATGAAGATGAAGAAATGATGAAATACATTGAAGAGCAACTATCAAAACGAAAAGGTATGGTGGTATTTACTACATTTTTGATTTCCTGTCTGCTCATGAATTTTGCACTGCAGGCTTTGAAATGTTTTTACTGCTTAATATTTTCACCTTATGGTTGTTTCAATTGCATGTTCATAATTATGTTTACTAGTTTTCACAATAATTTCAATCTAAGGATTGTAATATATAATAACAATAACATCAACAAATAACATTTTATTATTTTCAGAGGGGCATGATCAGAAAAACATGGAAAGAGATGAAAATGATACACTTAAATACTTGTCGCCAGAAGAAGCAGCATTACTTTCTCTTCCTGAACACTTAAGAGTATCCTCCACACATAAATCAGAAGAGATGCTCTCAAATCAAATGCTAAGTGGTATTCCAGAAGTGGACCTTGGTATTGAAGCAAAAATTAAAAATATTGAAGCCACTGAAGAAGCAAAAATGAAACTTCTTTGGGAACGGCAAAACAAAAAAGATGGCCCATCCCAATTTGTGCCAACAAATATGGCAGTAAATTTTGTCCAGCATAATAGATTTAACTTAGAAAATGCTAACAATAAGAAAAAAAAAGTTGAAAAAGAAAAACCAAAGGAGGTTAGAGTTGTGACTTCAATAGATGAAAGTGTGGATAAAATTGTGAAAAAAGCAAAAGGAGAACGGGCAACTGATGATTATCACTATGAAAAGTTTAGGAAACAGTTTAGAAAGTATTAAATATTGCTTAATATAAATCTGCCAGATCATTGATAAGACTAAAATTGTTGCTAACATTGGAGAACATATTATAAAATGTAATTTTTAAAACTTCTAGTAACAAATATTGTTGCTTAGTGGAACATTTATTTATTTCATAGATTCACACACATAATTTACTAAGTTCTAAGCGTTAAGATGATTTTTATTTCCATACTTAATAAAAAATTACAAATTTGTAATTTAACACCCTATTTCTTTATTAATTATAGGGTTAAAATTTTAAATAAATATTATTTTTTAAATTAATATTATTTTTTAAATTTTGGTCCTAATTTTTTTTGATTATCATATTGAAATTGTGAGATCTAGAATTAATTAAAAAAGTAATTAACCAACATTCTTTCTATAGATAGATATTAAAATAATTTAATTAAATGTTAAAAGAAACACATTGATGTTAAATGGACATTTTATTTTGCAACTTAAAACAAACTATAACGGACGGAGACTGTATAATAATTACCTAAAAAGGTACATAAAATGAATATTTTTATACAAAAAAATTCACAATTAATGAAAACGTAATACAAAGATAAAAATGTAACAAGCTACAAACAAAAGTATTTTAATTTATAAATTTAAATAAGTAGTATTTTAGAAAAATTACCGATACCACCATATAGTGGCAAAATACCTATTTCCGATCTAAATTTTTGACGCAAGGCGTACTTTTGCTATGCAATTACAGAAAAAATAACGTTCATATAAATTCTGATTACACTTAACATAAGACTTAACTAAGACCAGAAAGTGGACGGATAAAACTATAAACTTAAGTAAAAAAGCAAGAACTCTTGCTGGGAAAAGGCACAATTTAGATAATGTCGTTTATCAAATAATAATATGAGGCTAAACATAACACCACTCATAATGGCTGAAAGTAGATGTTTCTAATAATAACTATGATTGATATTCAGCTGATAAAAACAAGATGTTATTGGTTACTACGTATAACAAAGAGAATGTATACGAATCTGTACCCTTAAGCATGAACAATAAAATCTTATAGTAGTGTTAATACAATGTAACGACAATTAATAATTTTCCCATATATGTATTTGGAATATATACCAAACATATAGGACGTAATTGTTTGTACTACCAGAAACTAAGAATATCGTAGCAACATGTATAAGCATGGAAAACCATTGTTTGTGTTAAAAGTACAAATAATAAGATTAATAACCTGTTTCCAAAGAACGAGTAAACACTTACAAAGAAATATCTATGGTATCTTACATAAAGAAACAAGGCAAAAGTGGTGAAGGTAGACATCAACGGTAAGATTTAGTTTGTATGTCAAAAACATATCGGATTTGATTCACTTACCCTTAGTCTAGAATTCCTCGCCAATATGAGATGCCATTGGTCTCATTTTGGGGTTCTTTTTAATAATATCCTTAAGGTACTACAAAATGGTTTATCTGATTGAGACCAATACTAATCTAATTCCCTAAAACCTGGTGGGTTATTTTTTTTTAAATATTTACATTTATAACTAAGACGGAGGACATAGGTACATTGCTATTTTTATTTTAAAAAGGATCTTAAAAACAACTTAATTAGTAATAGTAATCTGATTTGAATCAGCCAAAATCTGTAAACATAACAATTTTAACCAACACTAGTTTTGAATTTATTGGAATTCACTCCGTCTTTATTACATGTAACATCAAAACACTAAAAATATTGCAATAAAATATTAAATTCAGTATATAAATTTCTTATCATCCTAACACTATGTGCCATAATATTTACAAAACAGAACTTTGTTCAAGCAAATATACAAAAATGTATGAAAATTTAAATATCTAAATGGTCAGTATGCATGATAAATTTTAATAACAAAATCAAAATATAAAAATGTATTTATAGTGCTTAAAGTTTGTAAAAATATAAATTTTAAACTTCATTGTTAATATGAACAATAATCATTTTTAATAATAATATCTTTAAAATATTGCATGACAAAAATATACCATAAAATGTGTAAAATATAATTTGGAACTAATATCAAGACATAAATTAAACATTTCCGGCCTGTCTTATTATATTCATGAAAGACAAATTTATGCTTCGAAAGAAAATGTCTTACTTATTATGCTTATCTCAAGACTAGAATAAAACTTGAGAATCCTTTATAAGAAAAAAATATTAATTTCATACTTTTAAATAAATTTAGAAATTTAAGTCGGGTGACATATTCTAAGTCCTCAATGTGTTATATTTGCAACTAATATTACTTGTGCAATATAATTTGTGATGGTGTTTTAATACATCTAAAATAATTTTATAAAATGTTAACCCGATTATATTCATAATAAAAAATCAGACCAATTCAACCATTATAACTAGTATGCATTTATCTCTCTTCATCACATTCTAAACACAAATTGACAGAATGAGACAAAAGAATGCAATTAGATTCATTTAAGTTTTATGAGTGTGGAACATATTATTGTGTCTATTATAATTTTAGATACATGGCGTGATGAAAATATTATGGCGCGTCTAAACGGGCCATGTTTTGCTGCAATTGATGGCTGCACTGTTGGCCACTAATTGCCCGGCCATTACAAAAATATTTTAATACAGCTGATGGCCGAACAATCTATGGCTGGGCAATGTGTTGCAATATGTCTGCAATAGTATGGCCCATGATGCAGACTCCTAAACGGGCTACACAAACCGGCAACAATGGCTGACGAAATCACACTTGTCGCAGCAGCTTATATTGTTTTAAAAAAGAAACAGAAAAGAAGAGATTGTGGATTCGACCTTACTTAAATAGGCGTGAAACTGTAAACAGTTTGAGTCTAGAAATATGCCTTGATAATAAATTATTCAAGAACTTTACTAAAATGTCAAAAGCAGTCATTTTTAAGTAGTAACCTAACGTCAAAATGCAGCTGATCGCAAAACACAGAATATAGCAACAGGCACACTTCACTCATAGCAAACTTCATGTCGCGTAGAAAAGGATACACTGTGCCATAACAAAGAGTGTGACTGAAACAACAATAGAACTGGCTGTGCAATATTGCAGTTGAATTCGATAGCCTAGCGATCGTCCGGCCACCCATCGGGGCAACATCGGCCATATGTGGCTATACAAAACATGTTTGGCTATATGGCCGGGACATTACTGCAATATTGCATAGTGTGGCTGCTATTGTTTGCAATGTTGCCGGCCACAGTGTTGCAGCCATCAATTGCAGCAAAACATGGCCCGTTTAGAAACGCCATAACAATAGATATTTGAGGCTTGTAGTCGGTTCATACATAATATCATACCTTATTATTTCTATATTTTACTGACTATAAAAGTTATAAAGATTTTCAAGAGATTCATTGTTTATAAAAAACATAATTATTTAAAGTTCCTATAGACATCAAGTAAAACATTTAATTTAGACAGACATACTCAGAGTCGCCATTAATAATTAAAATTTAAACTTGAGGTTTTACACTGCTGCATACTTCTTAACTATAGTTAACTAATTGGGCTTTAAACATAGCTCGTATGATTTTAGATACAGAATCTGTATTTATTTATCTACATTTATAGATAATTCAATAGATGAGTGTCCAAGTATCTCTTACACACTTAAAAATTATTCTAGATTGCTTTATATATGGTTTAAAAAATCCGAATCAAAATCTAAACACATTGGTATAAAGTCAATTTCAGGTGGAAATAAAAAATATTCACATTCTGGAATAAACCATGCTTTTGGAATAAGTCTGGAAAACTTTTTCCACTTGGAATCTTCTAACTTACACCTCAGTACTGTGCGTCTGTATTCTGACTTTCTTCTGGCTGCCATTACGGTTGAGAGGTGGGGAATTCCCCGAATACCCTGGGTTTTGGATACCCATCCCGCCCGGTTCTCCTTCCCTGGGTCTGGGTTTCTTCAAAGAGGACCTCAGAGGCGACCTAGTTATTGTACTGGCGTCTGAGAGGCCAGTTAAGGTGGTGGCCGTGGTATTCATGGAGGCTACGCTACCGTGACCGTTTGTGGTGTACGGTTTGCCTGACGCGTCTGTCATTGATATGCCTGGAAATTAATTGTTTATGCAAATACTGTGTTAAGACTACTGGTCTTGGATTTACTAGACTAAGACTAGTTTTAGTGGCGTAACTATACTATCTGAGGCCCGTGACAAATCTTCTTTGGTTGCAATTCTTTTGATGGGGCCCTATCAGAATCCAAAGGCCTCCTCTCTTAGGCGAGAGGAAATGGTCTGTAGTCCCCACGCTAGCCCAATGCGTATTAGAGACTTCACATTCAACCATAGATCTTCTTGGGTCGGGGGCCCGTGGCATTTTGCCAGCTCTGTATTGTTACGCCACTGACCAGTTTGAAAGTTGAGTACAGGTTTTAGGAATTTAGGTTCAAAAATTTGACTGGCTTGCGAACTGTACATATATATGTAATATTAAACAAAACAGTTAAGACTACTTTCCTATACTAAATAAAAATATTTGAAGAAATAAGTCTGTAATTATATTTTAACTAAAATTGTAATGAATTTTTACACAGAAAATGACGTAATACATTATTCCAAGAATCTCACCTCTTCCTTCCTTAAACCCTGGATTATTAATGGTAGTGGCATTAGCTTCACCAATTGGGTTTGTGGGATCGCCACCATCTCTCCGCGAAAATAACGTGTCGTATACCGACATTATGAACAATATCGAATTTATAACGATGCATACTATCTGCAATTTAAAATTACCAAATTTATTAATCGCACTAAAAGTCTTATTAATTATTGTATATCTATATATCCCCTTATTTATATAATCTAAATCAATCTGACTGCACGTATATTTTTTATCTTATATCACTTTATAAAAAAAATAAATGAGAAGGTATGTTTATGCGAGCACCATACAAGTAAGCAATGTGGCGATCGAAATTTTTTGCAAAGCATATACAGCTTTATGTCTAGTACCGAATTAATTGATCGGAAACTTGACTTGGAATCGAACCCACAGCTGGGTATATACATAAACTAATCACGAAGGGGGTCAATAAAATAAAATATGAAAAATTTAGTTTTTAGATATTAAGGAAAATTTCATTTAGAAATCTAGAGTTTAGAAGTTTTCAACAATTATATTAATTAAGAACGTACCTGTACATAGAAAGCTTCTCCTCTATAGATGTAGAAACCTCTGTCATCGCCTTGGACTGCAAATAGACCGGCTGCTGCTATTGACAATAACGCTGAAAAAGATTATTTTTTAATTAGACCATAACTGAGTACGTGAAAGAAAAAACTCTAACCAATCGGTCAAATTTTAAATCTTACTTTACTCGTATTTATATTGCTGTTATAATTTATTGAGTTACAAGTTTTTACAAGTATGATATACGACTTCTTTAGTACGTATCAAACAAACAATTGTGGCCTCCACATTAGCCTGAATTAGAAAATTTTTGACGAAGAAATCGTAGTAAAAAACTATCTAATATTTACCTATACACTGGGTATTTTTGTTTGTCTCGCTTTAATTCTCATATAGGTACTTTTTAGTAGAACATATTAGTCCTACTACAGATAGTAGTCTACTTATTAGTAGTCTCTCATTAACCACGTTTGGTAACTATAGGTTATTTGTAACCCCTCACTAAAAACTAAGTATCATTTATAAGTAAAGAAAATTAATGACTAATATACTCACTCGCTAATAACGCAAGCGCCAGTTTGGTCATAACAAGGTGCGTGTACTTGAAGGCGACCTTCTCCTTGGATGAGATCATGGCGAGCTGGAGCACGGACAGCACACAGAACACACCCAACACTGTCACACCTATCGCGCCCACCACACCCGCTAGGTACACGGCCGCTGGAATAAGTACAATGAAAATTTAAAACATGTTGAATAATTAAAAATATTAATGTATGAATAAGTCCTTGAGAATTTATATGGCTATTTCTAGAACCTAAATAGAACGACTGCTTGTAGCAATAACTTAGTAAAGAAAATATACACAATAAATCAGAAAAAATCTTCCTTTATTACAAACACAAAACATTACGTAGCGCAATGTTCATCCCTACATAAGATCCATTTTTGGCAATCAAAAATAGCAGAAGAATTTTCTTTATAAAACTTGGACTAAGGTTAGTACGGTATTTGTTACCATGGTAACAATTCATACATATTTATCAATATTAGCTAACTGTGAAATCTGCATTTAAAAAACTAAAAGGCCAGCAATGCACCCACTACTAATTGTTCATGAGCTGCGGTAGCTGCCTATTATGGCTGTTCCGTAGGCTCGTTCGGCATATATTTTCCATGTATTTATCATAGGAAAATCGTAATGAACACGGTTCTAATGTTAATTTACGTTTTCTAAGCTGATCTTAACTCACTTTCAATATTATACCTGATTAACTTGCGTATGCACAGAGCGAAGTTAGTACATTATACACCAAAGCAATAATCTACTAGTGTCGTAGGTGAGTGACACTATAATAGTTAAAATAATTAAGTAATAGCTTAACCATTAGTCATATGTCCACGTCTGATTTCTGTGAACCAATTTCATAATTGCGTACTCGAAATGATTGCCAAATAATCATTTTTGTATTTTAATTAATACAAATATTTCTATATGTCTAGCAAACTAGTTAATTTATCTAGAAAATTATGGAGAGGCGGACGCAACTCTGCTGTTGCCGCATCCCGCCTAAGGTGATTGTTGGTGGCGCCTTGGGGTTTTAGTGGGTATGCACAATCGCGAGACCCACATAACCCTCCCGCACTAAGCAGTCGCGCCGCGGTGGGGTACCTATGCTCAATGCATTTCCCCAAGTACAAAAAAAAATAGTCAATTATAATTTTAAGAGTTTGCTTAACAGTTTTCGATGTGATACTAATTTCATACGTTTTGGTGTAAAAAATTTAAAAACTTAAAATTTTGCAAAAAAATATACAGTATTAACATAAAAATGAACATATATGTAGCATAGTCATAGTCATAAGGGGTATTTCATTAAATACTAATGGCAGCTTGGCACTGCTAGTTTTTAAAAATATTGTTGGTAAATAAATAAAGCCCTTGTTACATCTTATAATGAAATAGTTTTTGAGTTGATTAAATGCAAAAATACACATATATCCTCTTAATGATATATTAAATAATAATACAATTAACTCCCAATTAAAACAGCAAGAGTAATTCACACAATTAGGTCGCAAACTGTGCTTCAAGGCTTTTTCACGGTAAATTAATGAATGAAACATTCAGTTATAAACTTCTGCTATAACATACGGTAAATTTCCGATAAGGACTTAGAACTTTTAAATTGAAAACAGAAATTGAATTTCTTTAAATAGAAAAGGGGTAAGAAACGATTAGATAAGGATAAGCTTTGTGTCTAGACTTTGAGAACGAAGCCATCTTTAATTAAATGAAATTAAATAACTCGAAGAATTATTGATAAAACGATAAATGACAATATGAGCGAAGCTGGAATATTTAAAGTTAGCTATACATTGTTGTTCTTCTAACTATACTATGCGTGTTAAGTATTTGGTCCACTGATGCATGGTGTTTCTTACCTTGAAAATCAAAAACTTTGCGGTTAAAAAGAGTGGCGAAGAGTTCTTGCCCGCAACAATAGAACGTAGTGTTTTTTTAGTTTATTTTTAATGACTGAATAAATTTTAATTTGTAATATAGGGCAGGTCAAGTATTACGTAATAAGATTTACTGCAATTGCTCCCCCCCCCTCTCCTCTTATCAGCAAAAGTAAGCAGAGCTCTCAAAAATAATAGTATTTTTTTTTGAAGGAATCCTCGAAAATGCATTCCGTTTTCAAGCATAGACAATGTGTGGGTAATATGTGTAAAAATGTAAATAATTACTGTTGACGTAATCACCAAACAAGAAAATCAAAAAAACCCTCCCTCCTGTGCTCACGTAATACTTGAACGGCCCCTTTGAAGAAACTATATTTTTGCCTACATATAATTACGAGAAAAAATACTTCGTCCTAAGAAACTACATTCCATTTTTAAAATGATAGGTATTTAAACACACGACAAGGTCACCGATGACTCGGATTAAGATATTAAATTATGCGTGATGGCTGTTTACAATTGCAAGAAAAACATAAAAAAAAAACCCTGAACACGACACAATGGCGTGACATTGGATTGCACTGCAAACAATTGTGCTAAATAGGTGCAATTTCGTTTGTTATCTTCTCTGTATATATTATCCGATTTCAAATCATTATCTGTCTGAACTTCTCTTTATGAAGTATGACAATTTTGACAGAGCTCTAAGGAGAAGATCGTGACTTACAAAAATAGGTTTCGAGAAATAAAATTCTGTTTCTTGTCAGTTCGTGACTAGCGCGAATCTTTGTTATTTTTATCACCATAGAATGTATTATTTGTTAAACCGAATCCTTCAATGTGAAGACACACATAGAGACACAAACCACCAATATAAAATAAACCAATCGTTACATACACAGTAATGGTTGACCTTAGTCAGCCATTGTAATAGATAATGAATTTATGAATTTACTATAATAAAGAATGGTCCATATCAGCAACGAATTTCTTTATTAGTTAGTTGACTTCAAGGAGAATAAGGGCTGACAGAAAACTCTTTAGCTTTCAATATCTATGGTGGACACCAGGCAAACGCTACAGAGTTAGACTACGCAAGATGGGATGATGACATCAAAAAAATCGCTGGTCCCCAATGGTTACAAATAGCTTGGGATAGAGAAAGCGGGCAAGCCTTGAAGGAGGCCATTACCGAAGAGGGTTCTTGATACATACTAACTGAAAAAGATATTTACTAACACAGGATAAGTTGATAATAAGTATATCAGAAAATTAATTAAAGTTTATAATAAAATAAATATCTACGGTGGACTGTTTTAACCCATTAATTAATAGCTAAAGTAACCGTACCCGGGGTTAATATTGTTTTTTATATGAAGGACCTTTCATCAACTTTTTGCTACTAGACTCGGTCGACCTATATTATTATAAATATACATTGAACAATATGGTGTGTTTATAATGTGTCTATACTATTATAAATCTATATTATAAGCGACATTTCTGCACGTTTCATAACGTGACTCTGAGTCATTCATCGTGCATTGTTTTCGCCTATCATTTTCCTCGAGAAAATTCTGTTTAAATTGAATTTTTTGCATCTTGTTTAGTAATTTTTTAATCAAGGATGGTTGTATTAATATTTCTATGCAACAAGATTATTGTATATTTTAAAGACACTTTACAGATATTGTAAAGTATAGTTTTCGTGTTTGTGTATCTGTGAATAAACACATTTTTATTTATTTATTTATCTATTTCGTTATTTTCTCCCGGTAATAGTTCTCCATATTTCTAGGTCTTCCCCATTCTGACTGCTACAGGGTAGATCAAGTAGGTGGCACTGAATAACTCATCCAGAGCGTTTGTCCGATCGGCCACGTGAACGTTTCCCCACGTAAACGGTTCTTGATTGACTCGAGTCAACAAGTCTCTCAATGGATTAAATATTTATAATATATGATATGTTGTATGAACAACGTCTTTCCTTGAAAAATTGGTCCGGTTTCCGAATACTGTCCTTAATATCAAACAACAAATTTAACTTACTCATTTTCCAGTCGGATATAACAATGCAAACACCTGATTCAACGCTGTCCCATATACGGACGTAGTATCTAAACAATCATGCACCTGTTTTCAAACAATTCTATAGACATTATTTATTTAACCAAATTGGACCTACTTAACATCTGTAGCAAGAATATTGAACTCTATCTTATTAAAAAAAGATTATAAAACACTAATCGTGTACCATAATCAAATTTGTATAAACCAATTAAAACCCGGAAGTCCATTGTTCGATTTATTTGTTTATTTCGTAATCCTACAGCTAAAAAAAAATTATATATAAAAACAAACAATTACACCAAAAATATAGCCAAAGATGGAATACTTACATAATATTTACAAAAATTTTCAAACATTTACAAAAGAGAAAAAGCAATAAAAAAACATTCAATACATTTACTAAGTAATAATAATTTGGATGTAATGGTGTGTGAGGGTTTGCGGAAAAACAATAATTATTCTGTGTCAGCACCGGTAGGTTTTAAAACCGGCTGCTAAAAAATGCCTGCGATGTGCTATATGTTACGAGACATTCATACAAACAAACCATTTAATACAGACATAAATATGTCCTAAATAAATAAAAATACTAATGCTTAGGTCCCTTGAAGAGGGAACACAGCTATTGCTCCATCATCATCAGCTGTGTTATTTTTTTTATTAATGTAATAGGAGGCATACGGGCAGGAGGCCCACCTGATGTTAAGTGATACCGCCCATGGACACTCACTCACATTGCCAGAAGGCTAGCAAGTGCGTTGCCAACCTTTCAAGAATTGGTACGCTCGTTTCTTGAAGGACCCTAAGTCGAATTGGTTCGAAAATACTTCAGTGAGCAGCTGCTTCCACATAGCGTTGGTGCGCGCCAAAAACTGCCATAAAAAACGCTCAGTTGTGGAACGACGGACGTCGAGGTGATACGGATGGTATTTTGTATTCTGCCTTGACGTCCGATAATGTAACTCAGCTGCAGGTATTAGGCCGAACAACTCCTCTGATTATTTGCTATTATTATTGATTTCTTGGTTACAATACAATTATGTATTTACGGTGTATATTCGAGGATCCAAGCGACTTCTTCAATGCAAAGAGTCCCTTCGTGTGCTGCGATTTGTGGGCTATTCGATTGTGAGGAAGTTGCCTGCGCCTTCTTAACTTCTCATATCATTTTCACACATCTTCAT